GGTCTAATTGACCCGCAACTCCTTTCGGAGGAACAGTTAGGCTGATCGAAGCCCCGATCGCTCCTTCGATTCTGAGGTCAGAGTGCGTCTTCCCGCCTCGACACGCCTGTCTCGAGTCAACGGGTTGTTTCCGAACGGGGATAAGTTTGTTTTCAGATGAACCCTCGGCGCTATTAGAATATTAGCGTTTCAGGGCTCATCTGGAGATCGGCTTGTCCTCTTTCAGACATTTCTCGTTCGGGTGTCGTTAACCTCATCATTGCGTCGTGTTAAACGAGTGCTCGTGACGCTGGGAAATTGATGTGGGTTTCGGCCACCGTATACGGTATACTCTCGGAAAAAGGTATACAAGCACGGTGTACTCTCGGTATACTCGCGGCCAGGGGGCAGACTCTATAATGGACCACTAGACAGGGTACAAATTTAAGCATACTAATACATGTTTCTTAACCAAAGTTTCATGTAGAACACGATTCACACAACGAAAATTACTGAAACCAAATCCTAACGAAGATATTAACGTTTTTATTTCACATTGGTTACGAGGAATTTGAACTGTCCGCTCACAAGAAACTCAAAACTCTATGTGAGTCAAATCGCGCACTACAAATGGTTTCAGCAAGCTTCTATATCGAGCAATGTTCATTTCCCACCATGTGTTGTTCAAACTATAAGCAACTTGCTGTAGCTGAGCCAAAGCGTCAAGACTGAGGTTGCCAGATTTTTATATCGCTGAGACGTGCATGATAACGTTTAGCGCGCGATGTGAATCACGTAGAGCATTGAGTTTTCATGAGCGGGTGGTTTCAATTCACGCATCAAGAATCATTAAATATCTTCGTAAGGAGTTAATTTCGGTAATTTTCGTTGTGCGTCTCGTGTTTTACGTGAAATTTTGGTTAAGAAACATGTATCAGAATGCTGAAATTCGTACCTTGTCTAGTGGTCCATTTTTACATGTATTTTTATCCACATGAAGAAGGCTGTGATGTTTACATCCGCAACGTCTTGGTGAATGCGTTCTTTTCTAGACTTGTTACCCGCAGTTGTATTTTTTAAAAATTCAGAGTCTGCAATGGACCACTGCGGGCAAACTGCGACTAAAATCATTCTGATACATGGTTCCTTATTGAAATGTCACGTAGAAAACGATTTGCGCAACGAAAATGACTGAAATCTACTTTGAACTAAGATATTGAACGTTTTTCGATGGGTGAATTCAAATCTCCCGCTCATGGACAGTTCCTACACTGAAAAAAAAGTTACACGCTATATAGACGTACCGTCCGTTCCGGGCTCAGCGGCCGAAAGTCCCGGGTCCTGGAGCCGTAGGTTCGATCACACCTGGTACTACGCCTGGCATTTTCGGCCTACGAGCCCAGAACGCAGACGGTATGTTTATACAGCCCGTAAGTACAGTTTCCACAGCCGGTTTTTTTTTTTCTTCTTTTTTTTTCAGTGTATATCTTAAAGAAAATTTTTTTTTTGACATTGACGTCTTATTAACGTTGTAACCGAGTCCGTGATCGAATTTCCACGATGGATTGTCTATTTAGAAACTAGTCCTACCAACCAGTTAATTTCGGACGATCAACAAGATCACTGACACGTCTCCTTTTCTTTTTCTTCCTTTTTCATCCGGCGATGGCGTAACGGAACGGGCGTCGGAGTAAATTAAGGACCTATTGCGTCTTGGAGCGCGGGCCGGGAGGGAGGGGGAGGGGGAGGGATCAAAAGTCAATTGTGGGTGTTGGATTAAACGATACTAAACACTGCTCGGTTACGCAAAGAGCAAACCGCAGGAGGCTGAGGCTCGAAGAAAGAAGTGCCGGAGTACTGTCACTGTCTCTTTCGGTCTTTCACCAGGCTCATTAAACGGCAGTTACCCGACCGCTCAGCCGCTGAGCTCTTCGATGTCAGATTTATCCGATATCCAGGCTGCAAACGGTCTTGCGGTCTTAGGGTAGATGAAAATGTGCAGTGGCATAAACCGATCCGGACACTTCGAACGCGGGAGGTGGAGGGATGGATCCGGGCCCCGAGAAAATTTTGGACATTTTGCTTTTCCCTGTCGACAATCACAAATGAGGGGCTTGGAGGACAATTAAGGCTCATGAGTGTAGTTTTTAAAAAAAATTGAGATATTGGCGGTTTCGAGTAAAACTAGGCTTAATGCATATTCTGTGAAAAATTCGCCACCTGCGATTCCTTCTAACCATCCCAATTTTTAAGCAATAGAAAGTAAGTTTGAACTTTCTTTCCGCCGTAAGGATTCATGTGATTTCGAAACTTCAAACACACATCTCTCTAAATAGCAAAAACTGCACTTATGCGCCTTGTCCTCCGAGCCTCTCGAATAAACCATTTTCTTGACAGTTTTGTAAAACAGTTAGATAGTTTTGGAAAAGAGTTAGACAGTTTTATAAAACAGTTAGACAGTTTTGTACTGGTACTTATGAGAGTTAAAAAAAAATCATTTTTGACTCTAATTATAATTTTTGGAGCTTCTTGGTTTTGTTTTCCCCGCAAAATGGTGTGGACCCAGCACCATTTCTCCACCTTGTTGTAAACAATTTTCTTTTTAAAAAATGGGGGAAATTTTTGGAATGGCTCAACGCCGACCCGACAACAGTCAGCGGTCGGGCCGGGCGACAGTGATGCGATGAAAAGACGCGGGGACGCGAGTGAAATGATCTCATTCATCGGCTCTTTTCTCCTCGACTTTCATTCACCCGTGACATAACCTCGAAAATCGGTGAATGATCGCGGTGGGGCGGCGAGCCCGCAGACGGGCTTACGGCATGCCCGCGCGCGCCGCCGCACCGTTCGCGGTTTCGTAACCGATCCGTGGTCGTGCGTGCCGCGTGCCGCGGGAAAATCCACGCTCGGAGAGAAGTAAGTGCATGCTGGGATGAACCTCGAGACACATTAAAACATGTGCTAATCATGGCTCATACAGGAATCCACTTACCCCTCTCTTCGCTATCGCGGCAGCTCTATGAGGGATATGCAAAACGCCGGCGAAATCGCGCCGAGGCCATCGCGCACCGAAACCGAATTCCGCGGAGAAACCCGCGCCGCGTCGTCGGAAAAACGCGTGTAGAAAAATACGTGTTTTGCGAGAAATCCAAGACGCGTGACGTCATACGATGGTGGACGCGATGCCGAAATTCGTAGGACCGGCACCGAATTGGTCGGCTGAATAGTGCGATCGAGAAAAAAATATATGCATGAGCTTCTGGTTGGCTTGCGGTCCAAAATAATCAGCCAACACATTGTTTAGAACTAGGGATTGGACGAAAGTCACATCAGAAAATGACACCATTCAAAGGAAATGTATGCGCTGATTATTATTCCGACTGATAATTGATGCTTTCAGGTTGAAGTGTCTTTTGTCCAATTTTTTCTTTCCTCAGTTCTACCATCCGACAAGAAGTTACTTTCTAGAGCAGCGTGGTAGATCCCCATAGAGGAAAAAGTTTTCGCCTGTCTCCACGAATCACGAGTTCGTGGGAAGCATCTACCGTAAGCATCTTTCGTTTTTAACGTTGTCGCCCTTTTGGGCCCTAAGAGCTACATAAATCAAGTTATGCATACTCTCCCTATAAAGGTACTCTAGGTTTGTCTAACAAATTCTTGGTTTAACTAGAGTACCTGTGTAGCGACAGTATGGACAGCTTGTTTCATGGAAGGGTTAGGGCCCAAAAGGGTAGCCATCCCTTTAACACGTACAATTTCACTGACAATCTTCAGATTCCAACTCAAACCAACAATAAATGTGCAGTCTTCCGCAAAAATTAGTAAATCATGTAAATACTATGTCAAACACGTGCAGTGCAAACGACGGTTCGTGACAATTACAATAGATCTTTCTGAAAAATTTTCTATGAAATCCGTTTTTCACGTTGTCGCCCTTTACGGTCCTAAGAGCTACATAAATCAGGTTGTCCATACTCTCCCTATAAAGGTACTCTACGCTATCCAGATAAACATTGTCCGTTCGGGGACGTGACTGAATAGAATACCTATATTGAGAGAGTATGGCCACTGGGCCCCATGGAGAGGCTTAGGACCCAAAAATGGCGGTGCTTTGTTTTGGTTTTTGTGGATGGAAGGGGGGTCATTGCCAACTTTTGACGTTTATCACCAACCGCACTTGCTGCCAACCTTACTACATCTAGGATAATTTTTCTCAAAAATTGCACACGACTGGCCTTAAAAATATGTAAAGAAGTCGCAATAGTGCATTTGGGTAAATTTCTCGTTACGATAAGCAAAGAAAACTATATTTTGAGTCATTTTGCATTACATTAATTTATGGCGTCCTCCATTTTTGGGTCCTAAGGGCTCCATTCAGCCTAAAATGGCTGAGCCAATCAGAGGTGGTAACACCAGTGGCCATACTCTCTCAATATAGGTACTCTAACTGAATTGAGATGTGGATTGGAGCTTACCTTGTTGGCTTCGGAGAGAGCATCGGTGGTGGTGAGGGAGTTGCTGAGGGGGCTCCGGGGGAGGCCCAGGTCCTCTTCGCTCGTGTCCTCCCGCCCTTTCCTCCGCCTGACGGCATCGAACAGCTCCGCCTGAGGCACACCAAAAAACAACCAATTAATCAGCGGAACTTGACTCGGATTAAGAGCACTTCAAAGCCAGAGGATATCATCGACCCCCTACTCATCATGAGTTGCCAATCCGCGTCTCTTCGCTTCGCCAAAACTTTCTTCGCGCTCAGGAGGCCGACTTGCTTCGGTTCATGAGTCAGATTCTCAAGTATCGAATCGAAATTTTTGATGATTGAATCCTCTGTGAATGGAGAATTTGCATGCAAATTTTTTATTGCTTCATCTGAAATTTCTTAAAGAGCTGATTTCACAGTATTTTTTATAATTTTTTTCTGATATGGGAAATAGTATAAACATAGATTTAAAAGTGAGAAAATCCACCGCCAAGTGACGTAATTTGGCGGCATTCCCATTTAAACACACGTATTTTAGCAAGATTGATCAATTTTTCATATATTCTCCAATTATTGTTCAATTCGGGAACCAAGGGTATCCTCGTGTTCAGTTCACTCAGTAGTTTCAACACGAAACACGAAACTTTAACACGAAATTTATCAAATTTCAGACGCCTGCAAATTCTCTATTAGTGGAAAATAGTAGGCGCCAAATCTCCGAGGGGCTGTTCATGAATGACGTAACGCGATTTTCCCGATTTCTGGACACCCCTTGTAACGCGATCGGAATGTCATGTCAGTTCGCCTTCAATTTTTAGTGTAGGCCACGTGGGCTCCCACGTGGTCGAAAAGTGGTATCACCGTAAATGTCACGCTATTCGGAATACACACAGACGCGAAGAAGTGACTTGAACGCTTTACTAGCATTCTAGGTAGTGGGAACTCTCACGCGGCCGAATAGTCGTTTATCACTTTACAACGTAAATGCTCTCTCAATATTCCAACCAATCAAAGGCGATTCGACAATTTCGAGTGAGAGCCCCGAAAAAGGCAAACAGCAGCTCGTCAGAAGTGATGACAGAATGAAGACCGAGTTCATGTAAAAGAAATCAACTTTAGAAAGAAAGGAAAAGAAAGAAAAAAAGAAAAAAACAAGGGGTCTGCTCAGTATACTTTTCATTTCATTTGATGAAAAAGTCTAGGTTTTAAAATGTCAATTTCAATAAACTTTCGGAGCTTCAAACGTCAATTCTGAACCGAGTAATGCAAAGCTGGAGGGATCATTCTTTTTCCAAATTTTTAATAAAAGAGACCCTTAGTTCATACAGAGAATCCAAGAGCACAGCTGATGGTCTCTTCTCAGAGCCTTCATGGGTGAAATTGATTCAGAGAAAGGAACCCACTCATGATGATAATTATGGAGTTCTTCCAGGCAAATAAGGAGGACACATCGTTTGCTAAAATTTGTGGTCCTTCTCTGTTCAACTAGATCCATATGAGGCTCACGAACACGTAAATCCGAATCTTGGGCCACTTCGTCGTTTACTTCCGGGCGAAGAAACGTAACTCCATTCCAAGGTTGCAAAATTAACTCAAACTATGATAGATATTACAAGAATGTCCCCGGGTAATTGCCGTTAAAAAAATTTCTGATTTTTGCACAAGATCAGAGGAAAGATTAATAAAATTTTCTCTTGGAAATTCCCAGGATTCTCCTGGTAAAAATGCAATTTGCGAAAGGAGATTTGGCAACATTAGAATATAGTTACGTTCTTTTGTGAAGGAAACGACGAGTTGCGAGCCGGTGCCGAAAATGAAAACGCTGACGAACCGTGAGTATGTAAAACGAAGCAGCAAATCTGCCAGTCGGCGTCGTACAGTGGAACGAGGAGTTTAGAGAGAGTTCGAACTTGAAATTGGACGTGTTTATGTTAAAGGGAACTATGTTAAATGCAATCCATATGCACATAGTTTCTTTCAGCAAAAATAAGTTCAAATATTGAATAAAACTGCGAATTCAATCGTTTATTTTGTCACTTTATAAATTTTAAGGGGTGCGCCTGCACCTGCACAGCATATTCTTGCGAGTAAACCGATTCAGCCATTTTTAATCTTCTTACAGGGTTTCCATAATTTCATCTTCAAATTCCTTGACTTTTCCCTGACCTCCGATCAAAATTTCCAAAATATTTTAAAAATACGCTGATTTTTGCTAAATTTGGGACAAAATTTCCTCGCTTCAAACTCGACCTCAAATTATGAGAAAAGACATTCCGCAGCTGGTTAAAAGATGACAAGCCTTAAAAATGAGCAAAAAGGTTAAACAGTTAGAAGTTGAGTTACATGTTTTAGTGATTAGTAAACGTATTATGAATTCCCTCACTTTTTCCAAAAATTCCCTGACGTTCCCTCACTTTACCCGGATGTCAAAAACTCCCTAATTGTTCCGGCGATCCAAAGCCCCGGTAACCCTATTCTACGTTTCGTATGACGAGATTTACAGGGTTATTCAAAAGTCACGCACCACTGGCAATGAATTTGGTCCTAATTATGATATCGATTTGAGGTTTAAGACGCTTTTCCTCATGTCGAGGGGGAAACTTTTTTGGGTACTTTCCAGTTTTTGATCCCCTCGGAGGGAAGGGGGCGGAGGGTACCTGAAAAATTTCAAATGGCCACCCCCCCTCATGGCCAGCTGTGGTGCGTGACTTTTGAATAACCCTGTATATTTGCTTTTGAATTTTCCACACCATGTCCAAGCTCTCCAAGGTAGTGGATCCACTGTGCGGCGGGCCGGTCGGGGGAGAGGCCACGAGGCCGAAGACGAATCGGCCGCGAATTCGCCCGCAGTGCGGGGAGTCGAGCACTCGTAACCCACAACCGCAACCCGCCCGCACTTTCTCAAAACATTCATTTTACCACTACACGGGCCTCATTGTTTTCGACCGATCATCCTCAACACAGTGGCTCAGCTCCAACCGCTCACGACGGACATTTCGCACTTCGAACTATCAAGTCTCTTCAGGATTCGAAGGGGCCAAAAAATGAGCAATTTCTCGCTCTCCGGATTTAGTCTCACCTATTTTTCGGAATAGTTCAGTCGAGTTTTTTCACAGAATTTGCACGGAATACTGAAAAAAAACAAAGTTACGCACTGGGGAAAAAAACACATTGGATCTGGAGTCCAGACTCTTGAAAACATTGACAAGAAAAAATACTCTTGATTCAATCAGATGTTTGCTTCAATCAAAAGGAAATCCGCTCAAATTAAGAGGCTTGATTCTTGATTTAAGCAAAAATCCGATTGAATCAGGAGTATTTTTTCTTGTCGATGTTTTTAAGAGTCGGGACCCTAGATCCAATGTGTTTTTTTTTTCTCAGTTCGGGCTAAAATAGACATACCGTTCGTTTCGGGCTCATAGGTGGAAAGTTCCGGGTGCTGGAGCCGTTACGTAGTTTTGATTGCTCCGGGTGCTACGTGAAGACGGTATGTCTATATAGCCCGTAAGTACGACTTCCACGGCCGAAGTTTTTTATTCAGTGAAGAAAAAAGTTGAGGGTTTATGTTGAACCAGACAACCACGGAGCAGTCCATATAACAGTGAGAAACGAGGGAAAATCGCGGAAACAAGGGTAACAATTAACATGGAAACAAATGCAGAACGTTCCGACAACCTTACGGCGTCATTGTCAACTAGCTGCTAAAAGAATAGAAAAGGAATTAATAAAACTAAACTCAAAAATATGTTTAAAAACCTCAGCAATTACATGGCAATACCTTGGAAATGCTTCGCCACCAAAGAGGTTTTTTCTAGATTTTTTATATTTTAGTTTTATTTTTTCCTCTGTTCTTTTAGCAGGTAATGACACCGTAAGATCGTCGAAACATCCTTCATTTGTTTTTCATGCTATTTTTTAGCTTTTTATCCGCGGTGTTAAGTTGCAGAGGTAAGTTATTCCATAAGTCCCAAAACAAATTACACTTAAATCATTCAAATTAATAATTCGAATTTGCTTAGTCCCAGGTAAATAAGAAAAATTCAAAACTCAATTTTTCTCGAAAAATTTCAAAAAAGACGTCCTCTGACATGCTCATGAAATTATAGCTATTGATTTATAAAAAGTCGGTCGGTTGCTGACGATTGAAAACTTCAAGGAAATGTAGTTCCTTGATAATGCAATAATTCATCATAACATTTTCGAGAGCTCACAATGCAGAATGATTACAATCTCTGCGTCCCGAATTTCGCTCGGCGGTGGCCACTGTGCGCTACTGCCAAATTTTCTCGAGGATCGTGACGAAATTTCGGCCAAGGATGAGAAAAAACTCACGCGTGACCGTAGCGAGCCGCCAACTATTGAGCGCAAAGCAACACACTCAAAAATCATCCGAGTTTTGAATCAAGACTCGTGGTGCAATTCGCGGACACTCCGTGTGAGCAGGGAAGGAATATTGCAAAATCATAGCCAGCAGAGAGAGAATATGTACCATCATTAATAATTGCGAGAAAGAATTTGGCAAGGGCAAAGAGCTGAATATGCAAGGAGGTACTTGGAACAACTCTTGTACCTCACAAAAGGATGATCTCATTGATTGCCTGTGTTGCAAATAATGAAAATTTCCGGCAAAATAGGAAATTATTCCTTTGAATATCAGAAAATCCACTGGTTTTGAAAACGAGAAACAACCAGTTGGACGTATTTCTGTTAAACGGAACTAAGCGCCAAGTTGAGTTCATTGGAGGATTATAGAATTCAGGATAGCGCGTTCTGTCAAACGGAACTAAGCGCCACTGAAAGACATTGCGAGTATAGGACGGATCGAGCATCGTATCCCGCGACACCCGCCAATCCAAGCCCCCCTCTCCCTTCCTCCCCCTTTGGCGCTTAGTTCCGTTTGATAGAAATACGTCCAATTAAACTTTACACAAACCATTAATTTATTGAACTAACCAGGAAGTGATTACTCTCAACTTGATTTTTTTGAAAAAAAAGAGAGAGAAAATGGCTGATTCCTTCAATAAATCAATGGTTGATATAAAGTCTAACTGATTGTTTCTCGTTTTCAAAACCAGTGGATTTTCTGATATTCAAAGGAACACTGGAAAAAAAACATTGGATCTAGAG